ACAAACCACCACACAACCACCCCACCACCACCACAAACCACCACACCACCACCAACACCACCGCCACAATCACCACCTCCACCACCACGACAACCTGCCACCACCACCACCACCACATTAACAAACCATCACACCACCACCACCACTACCACCGCCACCACCACAACCCACCACCACAACCACTACGTATGTCCACCACAAACCACCACACCACTACCATCACCATTTCCACCACCACCACCTTCACAACCACCCGCCACCAAACCACCACAAACCACCACCACCGCCACCGCCACCACCACCATCACCACCCCCGCAACCCACCTCGCGCCACAACCACTACCACCACCACAACCAGTTCCACCACGACAAACCACCACACCACCACCGCGACCAACACCACCACCACCACCACACCCACCACCACAGCTACCACCACCACCACAAATCACTACACCACCACCACCACCGCCACCAGCCACCACCACAACCACAACAACCACCACACCACCACCACCACCACCACCACCAACCACCACACCACCACCACCACCACCACCACCAGAACCACCACCACCACCTCCACCACCACCGCCACCACCACCACCGCAACCCACCACCGCCACCACCTCTGAGAGGCCCCAAGAGACGCCGGCGCCGCCGCCGCCAGCCGCCGCCGACGCCAGCGCCGGCCCGAGGAGAGGGAGAGAGGAGAAGCAAGGGAGGAGGGAGGAGAAGTGGGGCGTGGGGGTTCGAACACCCCCCCCCTCCGTGACGGGAAAGGGAGGGGGGGGAGGGTTCGAACCCCCCCCCCCTTCAATCCAGGGGGGGGTCCAAACCCCCACCCTCCAAGCGCCCACAGAACGCATCCCCGTATATGCATGCCCGTAGATGCTATATGGCTACGAAGTTCTTACGACAATCTACGCTCACGCCCGCAGCAGGCTTCTGTCCCTGGTACGTGCACCGCCGCCGCCTTCCCTGGCCGGGGCTGTCCTGGGCCCAAAGGTGGCGTGGATCACCTCCCGGCCTCGACCAAGGGGGGTCTGCCCACCGTCCTGGGGCCTGGGGCGG